GGATGCAGACAGCAGCAGCAGTATCAGCAGTTCTGTGTGGGTGCGTGTACCACTACTGATTGTGGTTACACTGGCCTGTATTCTTGTGTGCTGATTGTAATGGTGGTGGTGTGGTGTGGTGTGACTTAGGTCATCCTTTGTTTTCTTTTTCTTTTTTTGCATGCATCCCTACAGTCTAACTAATCTTCCATCTATAGGGATTCTCTTCTTCTTTTTTTGTTTCTTTAATGTTAATGTGTGTTTTGTGTGTTGTTTTTGCTCTCTGTGTTTATCCTATAATTGTTATTATTGCTACTCCATTGTGTGTGTGTGTTCTTGGAGACTCTCTCTATGTGTGCACCTGGGCTTGCACTGTGATAATGATGATGAACTGTATTGTATACTGGGAAAGAGGAAATAATATTAACAGATGAATTAATATTTTATAATTGCGTATATACGTATATATAGACTTACACCCATAGTTGGTGTATTTCTGTGTTTACTGGATTATTTGGGCTAATGGTTAATATCTGTTTTTTGCTTTTGGTGTGCTGAGGCATTCTGTGCTTTGCCTTGCACCATTGTGGTCGTTTTTTTTCTGCAGAAAAAAATAAGAATAACTGATACACCTTTTTATTCATAATTGCGTATTACCTCATTCGCACAGAACGATCTGTGTTATTTATGTGTTTGGTGTATCCGTCAGACTTGATCTTAATTTCATTTTTTTCTTGCTTTTGTTTCATCACGATGTTTGTGGTGAGTGTTTATTGAACTCTTTTTGTTTATACTGGTGGCGTTGTTATGTGTGATTGATACTTATGTTATGCCCTTCATGGTTTGTGCCTCTCTGTCTCTTTAGTATTGTGTGCTTGTTTTTATTTTATTTTTTTTTCTGTAGTGAAGTGACCTAAAACAAGAAAAACAGATATTGCTGTGGTGATGATGAAACGTATGCTGTTTTTTCTTCTCTTGGTGCTAAGCGTTGCTTGTGTGGGTGCTGTGACTGGTGTGGAAGCTGCAGGGCAGGATGTTGAAGAGCAGGCTACTGAAGTACATGCTTCTCTTGGTCATCGTCCTGGTATTGCGGAGACAAGAGAAGGATTGGAAATGACACAAGGTCTTGCTCCTGGTCCTGGCCGCAGTGAACTTGATGGAGATCATCATAAAGGTCCGGAAGCGGATCTGAAGGGCCCAGATGTAGATGTGAAAGGGCCTAAGGTGGGTCCACAGGTGCAAACGGTCAATGAAAATGGACCTGGTGAAAGCCCTCAAAGACTTAATGAGGTGACTGAGAGTATTAATCAAGCTGGGCAAAGTCAGAACCGTCAGGCACAAACTTCTGATTCTGAAACAACTTCACCTTCTCCTGATACTCCTTCTCCAGCTGGTAGTCCTACTACATCACGTACTGATGAGACCACAACTGTTGGTGACACATCGCCCCAACAGATACCAAGTGGTAATCGTTCACAGGGTAGCAGTGATCAGGGAGATAATGGTCAAGGTGCCAACACACAGAACACGCACACAACAGGGCCAGAACATAATGATGGAGAGGACTCTTCTACTTCCACAACTCAAAGTACAGGTAATACTTCTTCCAGCAACATACCCACAGATGAAGCGCAGAATAATCAGACTGAAAGTGATCCTAATCTTGCAAACCCCGCAGAGGGTGCATCAACCAGTAAGGAATCAACCACCACCACCACCACCACAACA